ATTTGCTGAAGGAAAAGCTTGCACTCAGGAGAAAACTATGACTGTGTACATATAACAGCAACAACTTGTTGGACTGTTGTTGTTGTTGTTAATACCCCGTCCATCTGGCTGGGTTTCCCCAGCCACTCTGGGCGGCTTCCAACAAAAGATTAAAAATACATTAAAACATCAGTCATTAAAAACTTCCCTAAACAGGGCTCCTTCCAGATGTCGTCTAAATGTCAAGATAGTTGTTTAATTCTTTGACATCTGATGGGAGGGTGTTCCACAGGGCGGGTGCCACTACTGAGAAGGCCCTCTGCCTGGTTCCCTGTAGCTTCACTTCTCAAAGTGAGGGAACTGCCAGAAGGCGCTCGGAGCTGGACCTCAGTGTCCGGGCTGAACGATGGGTGTGGAGATGCTCCTTCAGGTATACTGGGCAGAGGCCATTTAGGGCTTTAAAGGTCAGCACCAACACTTGTGCTCGGAAACATACTGGGAGCCAAGGTAGGTCTTTCAAGACCGGTGTTACGTGGTCTCGGTGGCTGCTCCCAATACATTTATATTTAAAGCACCTTTAAGCACCCCCTGAACCCTGGGAACTGTCAATTACTTCTCACAGAGCTATAATTCCCAGCACCCTTAACAAACAACCGTTCCTGGGATTCTGTAGAAGGGGAAAATACTGTTTTGGCTGTATACTAGATGTGCAGGCTATGTGGGAAACGCCACATACAGCTTTTCAGAGGTTTTGGTATCTAGCACAAACCTGGAAGTTATATACATATTTTCCTTTAGAGCAATTTCCCCTGCTGCTTCGGAGCTACAGGTGTGAAGGTGTCAAGACCAGAAGCTCTGTAAACAGAGAACTGAGAGGATCTTTTTGAAAGGCATTCCCTGTGGCAAGACGTGACTGGACTTACAGAATGATCACGCATGCTCGACAGTTCTGCCACTGTGTCTTCGCAAGTAAATAAAGAAATCTCTCTCGCAATGGATCGGTATTTTACAATTTCCACGCAAGGCAAACACCTAGAGAAATGATGCTAAGGCAGCTTCTGCTTCCGTCTTGCAAGCATCACTTGGCAATAAATAGCAACAGGTTTTTCTCATTTCTGGAACTGTGATTTGGCATTCAGATTCTTTTTTTATGTTCCATTCTGTATGTCAGGTGGATTATTTGTGGAGTTTAGGCCTGGATGCTAAATTCTCCTCCTGATGAAAATGTCTAAATCCCATTAAAGCCAGCTGCCCACTAGGTGAAATTATGTGCAGGTATTAAAAGGACAAATATGCTCTTTAAGCTTTCGGTAATGTGTTGGTGCCCGAAAGCCCATCAAAAGGAAAATGCTCTGCATTTAGGCTGGCTGCCGTTCATAATATTTGTAGTCGTAATCAAATGTCCTTTACTGTGTGGTTATTTAAACATGGCACTGATGTTGTACACAGAAGCAGATACAAGTGTGCATTCAGAGAACCATTCTGGCTTCATTTGAGCATTTTTATTCCTTTACACTACTGCTCAGTGTTGCATTTTGAATCACCCAATTCATCATTAGCTATATTAGCTGTTCAGACGTCTTGAAATTTGCTGATAAGGTATACTTTTGATAAGTGCTTTTTTTCTAAAAAAATGTTTAGGGATACTATCATTTTGACTCAAGAAAATCACCATTTTATAATTCAAATCGGGGAAAATAAATACAGTAAATGGACAAAAGTACAAAGATTCATAAAATGTTGAGGGATATGTATACCCCTGCATCCTCCCAGAAAAAAGCACTGCTTTTGCTTTTGACTTTGGGGTCCAAGTGTCAGAAAGTTTGCTATTAACTGGCAATACCAAACACACATAGTTACTATTCACGTGAAAATTTCAGGTGTGGTAAGGATGCTTATCATATCACAAGGGATTCTTAGCCGAAGCTGCCCAGTTTCCCAGCATCCCAAAGCCAAAGACTCATGGTACAGGGGCACAGTGTTATTTTGGTGCAAGGCATGATGCCATTAAGAGATGCCAAAAGCAAATGTCCCCAGGGATGTGGTTGAGTGGTAAAGGGGTGGAACTTGTGCAAAAGTCCAGGAAATTTGAAATTTTGCCTTTGGATGGTAACCTCTCCCCCTTTTCTCCAGTAGAAAAATGGGAAATTTCCAACTTTTTAAAATCATACAATAATGTTTTAGGACTGTGTAACTTTTTATAAAATGAGAATTACTAGAGTCTACTGACGTGGGTGGCGCTGTGGGTTAAACCACAGAGCCTAGGACTTGCCAAACAGAAGGTTGGCAGTTCGAATCCCCGCGATGGGGTGAGCTCCCGTTGCTCGGTCCCTGCTCCTGCCAACCTAGCAGTTCGAAAGCACGTCAAAGTGCAAGTAGATAAATAGGTACCACTCCGGCGGGAAGGTAAACAGCGTTTCCGTGCGCTGCTCTGGTTTGCCAGAAGCGGCTTAGTCATGCTGGCCACATGACCCGGAAGCTGTACGCCGGCTCCCTCGTCTAATAAAGCGAGATGAGTGCCGCAACCCCAGAGTCAGTCACGACTGGACCTAATGGACAGGGGACCCTTTACCTTTACCGAACATTATTTTCATTGCTCTTCAAAGGATGTGCCTATTGATGGTTGATGGTGTCACCATAACACATTAGAATTTTTTTAGATTGTTTCCAGCCTGCTTGACTTAGGGTCCTGCAACCCTGTTGTAGTCAGTAAATCCAACTATATCCTGCAGGGTTTACATCAGGGATGGGGAAACTGTGGCCTGCCAGGTATTGATGAACTACAACTTCCATAGTCCCTGACCACTGACCATGTTGGCTGGGGCTTATGCGAACTGGGATCCAATGCATGGAGGTCCACAGCTTCCCTATCTCTGCTTTACAGTACAGAACTGCCATGCCACTTTTACTTATCAGGTCTCCAAATAAACAGTGTCTTTCCACTCTGAATTTCCCCCCTCCCCGGCCTTTGCACGCTCCTCCCAAAGTGGCTGTTACTAAGGTACAACACTGGCTACGTGCAGATTTTTTCCTGCAGCCAGGAAAGTGAGGTGGCGGCTGTTTTCCTTCTTTTACTGTGTTCTTCCTTCTCTCCCTTTCATCCTGTCCCATAATGCCTTACTGGCTCCAATTTTGCTGTGGTTTTTGCTAAACTAATCCATTTCAGAATACATTACTACACTGCTACTCATTGATTCTGGATTGTCTTAAAGTGAGATGACATGTAAACACACAATCTTCCCCTTTACATGCAAATAGATGTTCAAATGACATTGATTCAAATAGAGTTTGCAGAGAATTGGCAAAGAGGGAAAGCTTCATTTTTCTTTTTTTAAAAAGCTGAACACTGTCATGATGGAAGGAAAATATTGCATGAAGCTCCCACAGCCCAAGGCAAATCAGCCTATCTAAGGTGTTTTTTGAAAAACGTTGGCATGCATTTGGTTAGAGGCAAGTTTCTTTGAATGCCGCAAAACAACAGGCTCCACAAGGAATATAGTCAGTAATGCCCTCTGTGTGAACTTGTCGATTAGAGGTGTATGACACTGTGAAATACTATTACTAATAATGACCTTTCAGGCAGTATGTCTACATCAGCAACACAAAAATATTCAGCACAGATTAAAAAAAACCAGTTAAAATCGCAATCAACAGTATTCAATACAGGGACAAAAGCAAAGTGCTTGTGCAGAGGAGACAGAGCTCAGCAAAAGGTCTGGGTGAAAATATATGTTTTTTAATCTGTGCTGAAAATGAGGGTCAACACTGATCACATTTGAAGGGGGAAGGAGCTCCACAAATGGAGGAGAAGGCATTCCACCCAATATGTGGGTCATAAGCCACATAAGGCTTTGTATGTACATTGAATTTGGCCCAACAGCATATACTATGCAGCAGAAGCGTGGTTTTTTTGTCTCTACACTTGAGAAACCCATATGCCAGAATATAACCCATAAGCCAGTTTTCTTCACAAGTGTGAAGCTGGTTTATGTCCTACTTCCCCCAGTTATTAATACATGTGTTGATAACAGCATGATTTTAGCGGGTGAACCGGGATTTGAGTGCCTATTTCAGTCTGGGCCCATGTAGTGATCTGGGTTTTCACTTCCCAGTGCATGCATTCAGAAGGAAAAACAGGCATTTGCAGATTGACAGAAGGATTGATGAACAAAGTTAGTTCTCAAATAGCCCCTATCTGGCATATAAGAATATGAAATATTACTAGCCCACCCATATACACATTTCAACATCAATAGCCTGGAGGAAAAAGAACCAACTTTCTTCCATTTACATAAACTTCCCCTTTTGGAGACCATTTTCATTTGCCAAGAGCAACTAGATTACAAATCTAAGGTGAACATTAAAAAGGACATTAATTTTTTTTTAATGAAAAGTGTTTATTAAACACGTGCGTATTTACAATATTGAACATCCCGACATACCCAAATCTTATATTACACAAACATAAATCTGAAAAGGTTTAACAAAGTCAACACAAAACACACTGAATTGTATGCCAAATAACGCTTTTAAATAATCCATATAATAAAACACAAGAGGAAGTAATGTTGCACGCACACACAAAACGTTTGCAACAGAAGGTAGCTTGCCTTGACAAGCTACGGTTGCTGTACTGAAATCCACTTAAGCTATTAAGCACAAGTACAAAGGAATAAATATTTGGAAATGAGCTTTTTGGACCTGATTCCACAGACATAAATTGTGCACAATTGATTTTTACTCCACTGATTCCAACTGCAGCTCTGACATACATTGGAGCTCTATGCAGACAGTGTCTGTCCCATTTTCTTCCAACTTTCAGGAATGTTAGGTTTAGTCAGGTGCACAGATAATCTATAATAAATAGGACAGTCTGCTTGCATGGAGTTTGGGATTGTGGCCCTTGACTAATCCGAGCATTAAATCCCATTGAAATCAATGGGATTAAAGTGATTGCAACAGGGCTAGATTTTAAGACCCCTCCGTTGCAAGAATTAATTCCCACTGATTAATTTTTCCTATTTCTCATTGCTTTTACAGTGCTGAGTAACAGATGCCTTGAGAAATATTGCCAGTCATACATTCCTAGGCAAAGAACTAAGCTCAAAGCCCTTATATTCAGTAGATTTGCAGTTAAGTGCTTTGGGGGATCAGAAATAATGTCCATTATAGAAAAAGTCCACAAACAACTGCAAGAACCATCTATTCTTAATTACCTAAAAAATAATAATAATAAAATAAGCCACATGATATGCATCAAGACAATTTTACAATGAAGACTATATTAAATATTTTACATGGCTTGGAATACAGTGTTGTAGCTGCCAGCATGTAATACATTTTAATAAGATACAATTCTTGCCCACTGGATGAAAACTTTGTGTGTTAAAGTCTTGCATGAGCATATGTATACCGAAGGTATACTGCAGATAAAGAAACCCAGAGCAATTTGTTTCACTCTAAGAGCCAATTAGTACAGTGACTTACTAGCCTGAAACTCCATGGCTCTAAAACTGGTTCCCAAATCAGATTATGCAAAGGAGAAAAGAAGATCAGCTGGAGTGTGTAGCCAACACCAAATTTAGCTGCCTGGGTCACGTGCAACATGATCTGAGAGGCAAACACAATTGAAAGTGCCATCACAAACAGCACTTAGCTGCTAGGTATTTTGTGCTCATTTTGTATGTACAGAATAGTCCAGATTCAAATACTATTACTGTACTGTATGCATGCATGTGCCTGATATTTTTGATATTTTCTTATCTGTCTGAACGCGATGGCATTGTATTGTATGTTTCAACAGTGATAAGAAGCTAATCCTATCTGTATTGTGGCATAACCCAAAGCTTTTTGCACATGGACTATTGCACTGCAACAGTATTTTCTAATCAAAGACAGCCTGCTCCATTTTAGAGAATGGCCCCACACTGTGGCTTTTAGGATTGGCTCAAGAGTTTCTTTAAGGACTTTTCAGTTTCTTTAAGGACTTTTGTTTGACTCTGAAAGTCATGCTAGACTAGAGGATAACAAACTAATAAGCTTTTTTGAGGGGTCGGGAATTGTGAATTATGACTTGTGTGTTACCTGGAGAACTGCAAAGAACGTACGTGAATTTTCCATGACAAACAACAGTATATAAAAAAAATCATTTTAAGTTATATGTTGATTCAGAACAAAGTACTTCTTTACACATTTAATAAAAAAGCAAACACCTTACAACATCCCCTGGATCGTTTATATATTCAAATGAAATCGACAAACATTACAAACCCTTAAATATATTCCAAGTAGCTGGATATCAGACATCTTCAGCAATCGTAGTGTCAAAAACCCGATAGCAAATTTGCTGCTCTCTTCCATCCGTGACATAGTAGGATTTGATAAAACAGTCCAGCCATGGCAGGTCGTCTACAATCAAAAGCAAATGACTGGTTTTAATGGGCATTTTCTGTATTCAAGAATTGTGACCAAAAAAACAAAAGTTGTATAGACCTCGAAACATTAAGCATAAATCAGAATCACAGCAGTGGGACAGAAACAGTGGCACATACAATGTGGCTATAATCACAAGGGTATTAATGTAGCGTAGAAGGGAACAGCACCACGGACTGCAATGTCTTAACCAAGACACTACAGTCCACCTTGGAAGTTGCACGGAATCCATTCCGGAAGTTCATTTGACTTCCAAAACGCTTGGAAACCAATGTGCGGCTTCTGATTGGCTGCAGGAAGCTCCTGCAGCCAATCAGAAGCCATGTCGGACGTTCGGGTTCCAAAGAACGTTCGCAAGCTGGAACACTCACTTCCGGGTTTGCAGCGTTCAGGGACCAAAATGTTCAACTCACAAGGCGTTTGGGATCCAAGGTACGACTGTATACATATTTAAGACGCCAAAGAAAGCACTTATCCTACTTCATGTGAAACAAAAACGTGGTTAGGCGAGTCATGAAAAATTCAGCTGGGCTTATGTTTGAAGCACTCTGCATCGAAAAAATGTCCCTTATACATGAACCGCTGCCAAGTGAAATCAATGTTCCTGTGTTTGCTAGCATGGCAGATATTACTTTTCTCATTCCCCCCCCCCCCCCGCAATTCGGCATAAAATCAATAAAGTGTCATGGTTGTTGCTGAGTCTATCAGATATTTGCACTATGCGCAGTTAAATTCTGAAGGCCAGAATGTATTTCTCAAGTTCTATTAGGGAGGAAAAAAATCTCAAAACAATCCACAATATTCTCATACAATGAAACTGGGTTCAGTAATACACAGGCACAAGAAGCTAGCATTTGTCATCAACAAACACAAACAGTTTTAATTCAGAAGTATATACAGGCAGTCACATTCTCATACGGGAAAAGGCAACTTTAAATTACTCTGGCAACCAATTGGACTAAATGTGGCTGGCAAATGTACAGAGGTCCTTAAGGCTTTATAGATAGTTTCATGAGGTTTCAGCATATATAAGAGAACAGAAGGGCCACTGAAGTATACCATCTGTGACTTCATTTGAAGACACCTTTCAGTGCTGCTAAAATGCCAGGTTGCTTTTTAAGGATACAGTTTAAATGTACCATGCTGTACAGAATAGTTATCCTTTGTACCAAATTCTCTGTTTGGACTATTGCAGCCAATGGAGAAATTATACATCTATATCTTTAAAAAGAACAGAGCTACAAACCAGTGTAGTTTTGTGGTACAGCAGGAAAAGATGTAATTTAATTCTCTTTCCTACAGAGTGTAAAAATTAAAAAGATAAACTTATGTAGATTTTAATCATGCTTCCAAATTTATGATAAGTATCTCACCTAGATTTGTGCCTGAAGGGCAAAGTTTGTTCATGATCCTTTCTATGTTCTCTTGAAAAATATTATTGGTCAGGACTTCAGAAGCTGGAATTTGGAAGAAATCTTTCTGGAGAACAGGAAAAATGATGCAGATATAATTAAATTAGTCAATAGATATTTGGCAAAGAAATGAAAATTACATGTAACAAAAACATGTTTCACACTTCATGTTTTTAACACAATGCAAATAAGAAAAACAGAAGGGAGTAGCATTGTTTATTCACATAAGCAGTCTAATATCTAAATCTGTTTTTAACGTTCTGGTATAACAAAAAGGAGCACCTTTTAAAAAACATCTTCACTTTATTCCAATTCATAAGTGAATCTAAATTCACCCTCTCAAAGGAATTCATGCCAGCCTTAGCTTTATTAAAATTCATAGCTAAAATAGAAATAATCTACCACATTTGTACAGGCTAGATCTTAATAAAACATGAATGTATGTCTCAAGTGTATGTTGAGGAATTTCTACCACCAATATGCCGTTAACTCACAGAATACTCTGTAGTCTCATCTACTACACTATAAACCCGCGTATCAACACTTAGTTAAAAATAACAGAAATTACAGGTGCCAATTAGTAATATTTGGTATGAGTAGGTGTAATCACATTATCTCTGCTTTATAGCTTCTATGTAATTGAAGAGTTCAGATTCTACATATTTTCAGGAGTTATACTGCTGTACCTTGCTGCAACACTTCAGCATATAAAGAACTGGTAAGTTAAAGAGAAATGAAAACATTTCCCCCTATAATTTTCATGTCCATCTATATGTAATAACCTTACTTTTGCATTTTTGTTCAAGCATGTCAGACTGAGAAGTTCTTACATGCTTCCCACATTCCTCTGTGAGGGGGTTGACTGCCATTCTATCATTTTTTTTATAGAACAAGAACATTTTTTCATCTTGTTTCTGATTTGGCTTTGCTTAAATTCTAACTAGGTAAAGGTTAAGGGACCCCTGACCATTAGGTCCAGTTGCGAACGACTCTGGGGTTGTGGCGCTCATCTCGCTTTATTGGCCGAGGGAGCCGGCATACAGCTTCTGGGTCATGTGGCCAGCATGACTAAGCCGCTTCTGGCAAACCAGAGCAGCGCATGGAAACGCCGTTTACCTTCCCGCCAGAGCGGTACCTATTTATCTACTTGCACTGTGTTGCTTTCGAACTGCTAGGTTGGCAGGAGCAGGGACTGAGCAACAAGAGCTCACCTCGTCACAGGGATTCAAACCAGCGACCTTCTGATCAGCAAGTCCTAGGCTCTGTGGTTTAGACCACAGTGCCACCCGCGTCCCTAAATTCTAACTAGTGATGGGCAAACTGTTCCCAAGTAGAAAGGGGCCACAAATTAGTATTCCTCCCCCCCCCCCGAGAATTATAAATCTAGCCCAACACCCTGTTTTCTCATAGTAGCCAACCAAATGCTTGTAGGTTTACTGAGCGCAAGGACACTCTCTCCTCTCCTGTGGCTTCTAGCAGCTGATATTCAGAAGGATATACTGCCTATGACCACGGAGGCAGAACACAGAGACCATGGCTAGTAGCCATCAATAGCCCTTTCCCCCATGAATTTGTCTAATTTCTCTTTTAAAGCCATCCAAGTCTTTTAAAGGCCACCACTGCATCCCATGGCAGCTTCCCCAAGTACTTTTTTTAAGTAACTCTTTCTAGCCCTTTCCTTCAGCTGGAAAGGAAGGGAGGAGAGAGAAACTAAGAGAAAGAGAAAGGGGAGATGAGACAGGATACATAAGGAATCAAGTACAGTGTGTGTCGCACTGTAGTTCCAGAATGGTGGCATATCACAGCACCAGAGAGAGACACTGGGGGGAACTAAAATGACATATGCTCCAAAATGTTTCAAATCGTGGCAAAGAAAAGTTAGCAGTCTTCCAGTGTCAAGAAGAACAATTGCTCAATTGCTTGTGTCCAGTATTTAGCGTTGGGGTCAGGCCCTCTCAATGTTGGGCCTGATACGTGTGTTGCTGCTGCTGTATTTAATCTAAAAATCAAGGTTTGAAAGTGGCTATTTTCATCCAATTTCACATGAGCTTAACTAAAGCATTTTAAAACTAGATCATAGTTCTTACTGCTTCTACTGCAACTCTGCCCTCTCTCCATGTTGCTTGAGAGAACAGCCATATGCAAGCACACACTTATATTCAAACTGAACATTTTCAGAGTACAATGCTTTGGTCTCTTACGCAATCCATGAGATACACATTCAGGGTTCCTGTTCCATCGTCCAGCATAAACTTCATCACAAAGACATATTCAAGGGGCACAAGTCCTAAAGCTAAGCAGGAGGAAAATAAGAAGTTGCGTTTAGAGATTACTCAACACAAGAGAGGAATAAAAAGCTAAAAATATATTATCGGTGAGATACAGACAACATAAACACCACTGTCATCCACTGATTTATAACTGCTGTAGAGGATTTCAGTGTGAATGAACGGCTCCCAACTAAACTGCTCCCTCTATTGAAGTGAATTGCGCAGTCATGTGCACACAAGCTATCTATACTGCACCTTCGTAACATAGTAACACGGCTGTGGAAGATGCTCAATAGCATTTACATACACAATTGCATCCAGTGAAAATTTTAATTCCATGTAGGCTTTATAAGCTATTTCCCAATAGCCAGTAGACATCTTGGCAGTGTCATTGTGGATTCATTTTGTTCTGCCCAGTTCCATTCCTAAGGAAATCTGAAAGGGAAAGCGCTACTGATTCTTTGGTAGAAGAATGGTCCCCTGCAGAGAACTGCTCTGCTACTTATCCCATTAAAATAACCCACCAATTTATTTTGTATAGCTTAAATACAGAGTCCAATGAAGATATGAACAGCCACTGAATTAAGTTTTCTGGTTCCATGTTAGTGTTTTAACACACAATTCTGGTTTCATTTTTGTCGCTGTTGTTGCTTAGGTAGATTACAGTGGGGTGGGAGAACAGAAAGCTGCTGGTTGTGTTTCGCCATTATGTCTTCTGCTAGGACAAGATTCATACAAGTGAATATAGTGCAGGCATGGGGCAAGACAGAGCAATTGAGCTCCTCTTGCCTGCTCAAATGCAGATCTTTTGAAAGGTGACTGCTATGCAACAGAGAAACCAGCATTTGTTCTTATTTACATAAATCAGCATCAAGGTCATTTCTCGAGAACAAAAGCCACCCTAAATGGAACTTGTGATAATTTGTGAATAATTACATAAATCAACTATCAAAATCAGCTTCCCCTGCATTTATTCCTTGTGATGAAGCTAATCCTGCTTTATTTTACTTCCAGAAATTCGGGAATTCACATAACACACTTCCATGGGGGCGCAGCTCTATGCACAGGGACCGCAGCACGAAATGCTGTGTTTGGAACCTAACCATTCCTGGAAGTCCCTTACAAAATAATAATAATAATAATGCTTACACACCATTGCACTCTGCTATGGGGCTAACAGAAAAGCCCTATTACTTAATTCAGATCAAATTATTCTGCAGGATCTTTTTTGGAAGCGTGCGCATAATAATAGCACTGGACTCTGTAGAACTTAAAAGCTACCTATTTTATTTCCTATGCATCAGGTGTCAGACTAATACGTATCAGATTGAGATTCAGCTAGGGACGTTCCTGCTCTTTTCCAGGAAAGCTCCGTATGCTAAACTCAAATTGCCTCTTGCAGGCATAGAATTGTAGAGTTGGAAGGGACCATGAGGATCATCTCTTCTGTTCCAACCCTCTGAAAGGCAGGAATCTCTTGCCCAATGTAGGGCTCAAACATAGGACCCTAACATTAAGAGTCTCATGCTCTACCAACTCAGCCATTTATTACGTCTCAATGATGCCCTTATTTAAACAACAAGAAGAGGCCTGTTCACAAAGGGGGGCGGGCTTTGAGCACTGCCTAATGTGCTGCTTTGAGTACCCTGAGTCAATCTAATTTGAGATTAATGTCAGAGACACTTTATTCAACTTAATATAGCTTTGCTCTCCTACGTGAACAAGGCACAAATGATGAGAGAAGCATCTTCAAAACAACAATTATTTTGGAATGAACAGCAAGTCTTCCTCTTTCTCCCGGACTCAATAACTTTTTAAATCTTCAGATTTATGCAGCTTTCTCCTTACTCGGACATTACTGGGTGGTTTTATTTACACTCAGGACTTCGGAATAAAAATACTTCTGAATAAAAAATATGGATAATAGCATAATCTAACCTTGTGCTATGGTAGTGGGCTCCCACAATGGATCTTTCTGTGTAGCAAGGGGACTCAAGCTTGCTATCGCCTTCGGATTTGAACAGTGTTTGCACCTAATGTTTGAAACAAAACAATAGCATTAACTGTTCTGTATATTTAGCTTTTCTCAAAACTTGTCAGAAGAACATTTTCCTGCTGTTTTATAGACAGATATTTTATATGGCCTAGAAAAGCAGTAAACTTTAATGCCTTTTATAAGATACTGTCAACAAAAATAAATTCGTTGGTCAATTGAACTGAAGAATGTCAGGCAAATGGATACATTGCTAAGCATATATTTTCTAAACGCTGCTCTTTGTTGTTTAATGACACAAAACTGCTTCACACGATATAAGTAATAAATCTGGTATGGTGCAATATGCTAAAACACGACTGAATTAATAATTTAACCACATCCTAACAAGTAAATAATTTTATTCTTTAGTACGTTGGCAATGTTAAAAAAAGAACTTAGAACATTTTTATAGCCATAAAAATCATCAACATAAAAATGATGTTTGTATGTCTTTAAAAAGAGAGCTGCAACCAAACTATTTTTCCAGGTAAGAAAAGTATGCAAATACTTGTATAGCATGCTTAAAAAGACATCCTTTAACTTTTGATGACTGCAGAAAATAAACCAAGTGTTGTTAGTGTAGAGAAAGTGAATGTTATTGTCCAATATAATTGGGTCTAAGTCAAGACGAATTAAGACCGTGATTTCAGTTTCATTAGTTCCACTGACTTCTTCCCTTGTAGCAAGAATTTCTTCCCTCAAGAAATTGGCTCCATTGTTACCGTTTCTAATGTCTGACCAAATTCTACCCTCCTGTAACTGAAACCCATTACGTAGATCTAACCCTCTGAGGTAGCAGCAGCAAGCAAGACTTGGTGCCCTTTCCATATATTTCAAGTATTTGAACAGTGCTATATGTCCATCCATTGTCTTTTCTTCTGGAAGTTAAATATATCCAGTTCCCACAACCTTTTCCTCATAGGACTTGCTTTCCATATGGATTTCACTGTCATCCTGAACTACTTCAAATGCTTTTGCCCAGAGGTGGACACAATATTACAGATGAGGCACAACTAATGCGATATTACCTTTCGTGGCTTAGAAATGCCTCCATAAAAAGGCCTTCACCATCTTTGCAGCTTTTGTTCACACAGATTTAATCCTGCCCCAGTGATCTAGTGGCACGTGGCACATCTGAGAGTATTGGTAATGCATGCACAACTCTAGTGTATGAAACAACTTCCCGATCTAATTCAAAGGAGGCAGAAGTTGTGCACTTTGCACAGTTAAGATTGCTACCCTGCCCATAGCACAGATGTAAAAATAATACCAGTGTGTAAATTTGGACCCAGCTAGGAACTTAGCATCCTGTCTTCTTCAATTTTATTATCTGCTATAAGGACAGATAAAGTAACTAATTTTCCAAAGGTCTAACAACCGATCAAAGGTTTTGGCATCAGAACTGGAGTTAAGAAGCCAGATTTAATATTGGTGTGTGTGTGTGTGTGTGTGTGTGTGTGTGTGTGTTTTAGATTTACCCATAGTGTGGTATATTCCCTTGCCAAAGAAATGGAGCTGAAAGATCCAGCAACTCAAGATCGTCTTCCATGGCTCTTACGGGTATAATTCCTTTAAATTTTTTGAGAGCTTCAAGATTTCCTTCAGTGTGCCTCCTATAAATAAACAGAAATAACTATATTTAGGTTACTTTAATATTCTGATAACACATTAAATAACAGCAGTGAGCCAAGTTATCAAATTTATCCCTGACCATCCTTGTGTATATAATGTGTGTACATATATATTTGGATCCCAAGAGAGACAGACAATCATACAATTCTAGAATCGGAAGGGACCTTAAGGATCATCTAGTCTAATCTACTGCAATGCAGGAATATGCACCGTACGGGGATTGAACCTGTAACCTTGGCTTTATCAGCACCATGCTCTAACCAACTGAGCTATCCAGCTAATAAGCAGGCAGGTGGGGAAAAGTCCACCTGAAAGTCTGTTCCAGCTGGACAAAGGATTCCAGGAGCCAGAAGGAGCCAGGTTAAGATGACCCCAGGACCTGCTCCTGCTGGTCTGTACCCCACTACCAGCACCAGGGCTCCTACCACCAACTACTCTGTAGAAAGGATCCTGAAAAAAAAATCAAAATCGTCTTCTTAAACTACAATTCTATTGCCTCGGCCCAGTATACCTGAAAGAGCGTCTCCACCCCCATTGTTCTGCCCGGACGCTGAGGTCCAGCGCCGAGGACCTTCTGGCGGTTCCCTCACTGTGAGAAGCCATGTTACAGGGAACCAGGCAGAGGGCCTTCTCGGTAGTGGCACCCGCCCTGTGGAACGCCCTCCCACCAGATGTCAAAGAGATAAACAACTACCTGACATTCAGAAGACATCTTAAGGCAGCCCTGTTCAGGGAAGTTTTTAACGTGTGACATCTTAGTGTATTTTTTGTCTTTGCGGAAGCCGCCCAGAGTGGCTGGGGAAACCCAGCCAGATGGGCGGGGTACAAATAATGAATTATTATTATTATTATTATTATTATTATTATTATTAGAATAACCAGGAATCTGTTCTCACAGTGGGTGGCAAAATGCCTATGGGAAGTCCGCAAATAGGACCCGAGTGCAACAGCAGTTTCCAGCAACTTCCTGCGGTTTCCAGCAACTGGTGTTCAGACAGCGGAAGTAGAACACAGTCGTATTACTTGTAAGCCGCCTTAGGACGATTGGTATCCTGAAGGCGGTATAGAAATAACTGAAATAAATGTGCTCTACACCATGCATGAAATGCAAGCTTAAAAATATAAGATACACAAACGTCCGATACGGTTCATTAGGATTTCATAAAGTGGCAAACGTGATGAAATGTATTTCATGGAAGATACCAGTGGACGGTATGTTGCAAATTCAAGACTCGGCAGCCGAGGACCAATTAATTAATCCAGCTGAACCAAGAGAGACATACCGTATTTTTCCGTGTATAAGACTAGGTTTTCCCCCTAATGTCGAAAATTAGGGAGCACCTTATACATGGATACATTCCCCCCCTTTTTTAAAATCTGAGTCCCCCCCAAATAGGGGACGGGCGTCTTATACATGGGGGCATCTTATAGACAGAAAAATATGGTACTTCTTATGTCTATCTTCCAGCATAGGTCAATTTGCTTAGTCCAGTTGTGAGGAAAGCCGATAAGAGTTGTTGATTTCACGTGTTTTGTTTTATATTGTATTTTGAATACCACCTTAGAAGGCGATTCATAAATTATTATACAAATTAATATCAAATCTGTTTCAATCATTGTGACTTGCATTTTTCACACAAAAATATAGAGCTCCTGGAACAAACAACTGTTATTTGAAAAGCTATAATAGAAACACATGGGCACAGCCCACTAGGAGGTTCTCTCCCAAAAGCCCACAAAATGAATGGCAGCTGAGTAATTCCTTTTCTTGGGGCGATGCCATTCATTTAAGAGACTCGTGTGCCCCAAATACATGAGGTATGGCTCGTGAATAAAAACAAAACATAGCTTGCCTACTGCTTTTCTCACAGTAGCACAGCTTTATCTCTGTGAAAACACTGACATCCAGAGGATGACTAAGTACAGTACGTTTGCAACAGGAAAAGGCTTTTGGGCTTGTATATTATCCAGCTACTAGAAGAAGAAAAATACTTTCTTAGAGGGCAGAATATGAATTCCAACTAAAATGGAACCACAGCTATATTGTACAAAGACATTTGTAAAAAAAAGAAAAGAAATAAAGCTTTGGATTTATTATTCAGTGTCTCATTCACAATTCACTATATAGCAATTCTCTCCTAAGATTATTCTTGTCCTCCCCATTTCTCTTCTCATGTTTAAATGTATTTCACAGATTCACATCAAAAAGTGCTACCTAAATTTCCTGCTTAGTTTCCGGTTTTCTATTTTACTCCTATATACAAACACCATTAAGTATTTTGCAGAACTATGAGAAAGAAAGCAGATTTATTTGGGGGCAAAATTCAAGGTAAGATTTTGAAGAGGCAAGAGACTTCATGGGAATGATTCGTGCAATGTATTTTATGCATGAGTCCTTTATATATATGGGGCTTGCCAATTAACAACTATTCCATAGTGCATGAAGTTTGCTCACAAATAGATTTTTTTTAAGTGAACAAATCAACTTGAAAAGAAAACTTGTATATATATATATATATATGCTGCAAACATTTTCTCTTGTGAGGTTTTTCTGGTTTAGTGGAATCACATGAGGGTAACAGCAAGAGACAGATACTTTTTATCAGGATCAAAACTTTTAAAAATAGTTAAATATTCCTTAAACTTTTTTTTTTTAAAAGACTAAGATATTTTGTAGCATACCATCCAATCTCTTACATACAGCTGTATTAACTAACCTTCTATCATAATCAAACTGTCTTCTGGGTCTTGTAGTAGTTCATCATGCTTTACAAAATGAATAACCACACGCCGCTGTCCCTGGTTTTCAGTATCCCAAACAACAGATTCGCAGAAGGATGTATTTTGTAAATCGGGTCTTGGACATGTAGCTGAAGCCTCCTGTAAAATTAGATCAAGCTCACTCCCATCCGGAACCTCTTGCCTGGGAAAAAATAATAATAATTACAGCCTGAAGCGAACTACAGAAGCCTGCTCAAAATGATGTTGTGGAATATATTAGATATTTTACCGGAACGTGCAATTCAGGAGTAGCTTGCCCCAGGGGACTCACTGCCTGTTACTGGAAGGGGTTCAGTGGCAATGAAGTGAGGGCTTTGTGGGCACACTGGCTGAAGAGCTGAGTTGGCTCTGCTGGCACATCAACACAGCCCTGACCTTGCCAAGTTGCCCCTCCTGGTAAGTGGCACCGACTCCGCTGCTGGGAGAATCTTGCTGCGGCTCTGTCAGCCCTGACAGAAATCCTACAATAGCTAGACTCACTGGCGAAGGAAGAGGGGGGCAGGGGGAGCGCACCGCCATCGCGGCTGCCCCCCCCCCGGGACGTGTGCCAGCCATGCTCCCGCTTGTTCTCTGCCCCCCAGTGTCGGAGCATGAAGCTCCGCCACTGGCTAGACTTTTCCGCGTGCATGTTTGGACACAAGGTAATTGGCGAAAGCAGGCTGCGGTCCTTTAAGAAAGCGGAGAACAGGCTCAGAAACGCCTTGTTCTGAAAATCTGAGCTTAAAAACAATCTTTTAAACAAGCTTTAAGACTCCATTTTATTTTCTCCACATCTCCGCAGTGAATAGTGGTACTGAGAGTGGGTAAAGGAATAGTTCAGATTTTCATTAAAAAGTGTTTCTAAATTTAAAGAACTTGTAAGCATTTCATGTTCCTGAAGGAGTATTGAAGTCCAAAATATGTAGAGGTAAAATAAAAGCCTTGTAGGATGGAAAAGCGCTGGAACCTGATTTGTTCTTTGTTTTGATGCTTTGTGGTGCTCTGCAACCCTCTCTCTGCACACTGCTGGAATTTTAAGGTCCTTATATTACTCAGTACTGGAGCATTCCACATTAAGAAGGAAGTTAGGACCAAACATGAATCAAAGTGATAACCTCAGCTTCTTTTGCTTTTGGTTATAAAAGTGAGATCAAAGACTGCTACTTAATAGGGTAGAGTAATTAAGAAGCCAAGCTAATATTAGGGATGGAGGAATCATTCTCTGCCTTCTATATGGAAGTCTCTCAATAAAAAAATGGGGGAAGGGAACACACTGAAATACTTGCAAGCTTCTCCTGTCTGTCAGTCAATTTGCCTGATACCATAAATGTCACCCACCACACAATGAAGCAAAAACACCTTACCCAGTAAAAAAAAAAAGTAATACAGTGGACCCTCTGGATACAAACTTAATTCATTCCGGGGGTCCGTTCACACTCCAAAAATAACGTAAATAGAAGCGCGCTTCTGTGCGCGGCGTGATTGAGCACTTCTGCGCATGCGGCGAAACCTGGAAGTATACACTTCCGGGTTTGCCGTGGCCGTAACCCAAAGATTCCGTATCCAGAGGGATACATAAGTAGAGGTACGACTGTATTTGCTATTTGTGCAAGGGCAAATTAGGTAAAGGTAAAGGTACCCCTGCCCGTACGGGCCAGTCTTGACAGACTCTAGGGTTGTGCGCTCATCTCACTCTATAGGCCGGGAGCCAGCGCTGTCCGCAGACACTTCCGGGTCACGTGGCCAGCGTGACAAGCTGCATCTGGCGAGCCAGCGCAGCACACGGAATGCCGTTTACCTTCCCGCTGGTAAGCGGTCTCTATTTATCTACTTGCACCCAGAGGTGCTTTCGAACTGCTAGGTTGGCAGGCGCTGGGACCAAACGACGGGAGCGCACCCCGCCGCGGGGATTCAAACCGCCGACCATCCGATCGGCAAGTCCTAGGCGCTGAGGTTTTACCCACAGCGCCACCCGTGTCCTGAGGGGCAAATTAAACATTTGTTAATAATAAACAAATCTCTACTGTGCACGTTATATTTTAACAGCAGTGAATTTTTAAGGTGCTTATATCATGTTCCTTTATCTAGACAGGCATTTTAGCACATTTTTAGGGTGGAATATAATGACAACATATAATGACAAAGGGATATGATAACCAGCCCTTGATATTGCTGTACATCCAAGTTCCACTGATCCAAAAATCTAGGAAACTATGTAAGCAACATCTCCAAAGCAGCATGAGAGAAAAATGTATCATGGCACTTACAACAAATTGCACTGGGGACAATGAAGTTTAACAGACTGATGAAGCTTTTCAGGTTCAAATTGTCTCAGCTTAGCTCTGATGCGATACGGCTGAGGACTCCTGCTGTTCAAAATAGTACTCAGTGCAGTCACTTCAAAATGCTGGTGATCTCTCAGCACTGTAAAACACAAAGGTATCAAGGCTTGTACTTGTGAACAAACATGAGAGGAAAATACCAGCTCGGAAGTAAATTTAAACAAAGCTTTATTAAATTGCTGCAAGTTCTGGATTCATTCTGTGGTCTAGATGTGACAATTCTGAATATGCACTTATGTGAACAGACATGTCATGTTTTGAAATTAAAAATACACACATCTGTTGTGTCCAGCTCTTTACCAAACTAAGAGTGGGCACACCCTTGGTCTGCACAACTGATGGCCTAACAGGCAGAAATATGAAGTGTTTCGATGGGTAAAACCAATTAATTTCTGATCCATGTCAGTTGTGCATGTCTTCACTCATACGTCTGGATATGCAATCTCATCTGCTACTTTTTTAATCCACCCTAAATAAGGGTTTATAACTTTTCACATCTCAAAATGTGGATTTTAAAACATATTTTCACGTGCGTTTCGAAAATGTATTGTGATACGTTTTGAGCAGAGGACAGTGCTGGGTTATTTGGAAAGCGTAAATCTGATGGATATTACGTTTCGATCAGCATGTTAGTCAGGGAGATATGGATCAGGTCAGTACCTATCAAAATTTGCAAAGTTCAAATATCTCAGGCCTCCCTACTATCAATACAAAAGATGCCTTAGCTGAGCAGAATGTTAGTTCTATTGATTTTCTATTCTGCTGCAGTTTCCCATGCCACACTCTGAGCCATTCTAGAGGGGGTACAAGCTGGAAAAGTGGGCTTGGTGAAGCACAGAGTGCTTCAGGGGAGAACACTTTGCAAGAAACAACACTGTGCAAGAAGAACTTCTTTGGATCAAAGGTATACTGCATCTGTGAGCCCTACCTGTAACGGATAACTGCTGGCATCCTTCTGAACAAGATCCTACTTTGAAAAAGAAAAGAAAGGGGGAATTAATTTTGTCCCACTTACATCTCCCTCTAAACTGCAAGAGACATTAATATGCCACAACAAATTTCAACACAGACCAAAACATCTTGTTTTAAGATGACAAGAAGCCGTATGTTTGAGCAACAGCATCCATGAACTTTGACTACTTACAGCATTATCACTTAATTTTTATTTATAAGAGGATTTCTAAAATTCCAACTCATTAAATTATTCCTGCATTGAAGGGTTGGACTAGATGATGCTTGGAGTCTCTTGCAATGGTACAATTCTATGGTTCTTAAAAAGTATGATAGTGTACAGTGGTACCTCGGGTTACATACGCTTCAGGTTACATACGCTTCAGGATACAGCCTCCACTAACCCAGAAATAGTGCTTCAGGTTAAGAACTTTGCTTCAGGATGAGAACCGAAATCGTGCTCCGGCGGCACAGCAGCAGCAGGAGGCCCCATTAGCTAAAGTGGTGCTTCAGGTTAAGAACAGTTTCAGGTTAAGTACGGACCTCCAGAACGAATTAAGTACTTAACCCGAGGTATCACTGTACAATGAAATCATTAACATTATAAAATCTTAAAACATGGAAAAAACAGATCTTTTTAGACATGATCAATCATGCTTCACACGTAGATTGCATATTCCATTTGGTAGAAAATGTAATGTGGTCCCAAATATCCTGATATGAGGTGCAAAATGTTGCCACCTGCTTGTCACTTAAACTTTCTATAATCTTAGGATGCATTTTCTTACCCGAGATGACAGAGAAAACAATTTTGCACATAAACAAAGAAAGCAAAACTATCTTATGTAATTCAGCTACTTTTAATCAGCTGTTGAGATCAAAGAAGTCAGTGATGGACCACAGCTCACGTCCACACATTTTTAGGGTTTCCTGAATATTTTTGTCTTGCGTTAAAAGAAACGGTAGGCAACTCCATAAAAAGAACATGGAAGTACTATACTTTAAAGCAAGGAAGACAGAGCTGAGTGTTGTTTTCAAGTTTATTTACATGTAAAGTAAGCATTCTCAGGTTCTGAAGGACTTTCTGAAGACTCATCTTCCATCAAGTCTACAGAGTTCAGGAATCTGAAAATGAAAACGGTTTTGAAGAAAATAATCAAAACACAGAAGTAAACAAATAAATGGCCTTGTAGATGGGATTTTGTTTAACTCAGATGAAATCTACTTTGCGCTTCTCATTCCATTGCGATGGGACCATGTTCAATAACAGAATTTGAACATGCTGCAATGACTCCCTGAATTCACATGCTAATACAGCCAGATTGTTAGCGCTGCTGGACTTGAGTTTTATAAATACAAAGTAGTACTGGCATGCGCTGGTAAAATGATAGTATCCCCTAAAAGACAGGGCCTTGAAACACAGCTATTTTTCTGTGGTTCCTTAATGCTGCTTGATTTTTATTCTATGCACGATCATACCATAACAATGACTCTTATGCATATTGATTCTTTAGAATAACATGCGTATAGAGTTTAGAAGTAACCATCACTCAGATTACTCGGAAGCAAAGGCTGACCATTAGTAACATGAAGGGCTTCTCTCATTCCCTACTCTTCTTTCAAATGACAGCTGTCTTGAATTAGGGTTGCCAAAGTTGTTGAGCAATTTAGGGAAATCGTCAAAAGCAACATGGGTTACCATACATCCAGATTTCCTGGGACCCTTTTGTGATTTCTGCCTGGACACTGCTTCAGACTGCAGTATTCCAGCTATGTCTAGGAAATTCCAGGCATATGGCACAACCCTATCTTGAATTCTATTTACTTACTTCTTTAGATCCTCAACATCGGCGTGGCCTTCTGGCAGGCTTGTAATCCCACGGCCGTACGTGGTACCACCATGAAGATGAAATTGTAGATATGAAACATCAGGCTCATCTTCCGGACTTTGGAATTTTGCATGCAAACTGTACAATCTAATAAAGGTTCCAACCTTGAAATATATAAAACAGTTATTTCAGAAGGCAAAGCAAGACTCATTGTTTTCATCTATAAAAGAGAGTTAAGGAAGATGATGCCGTGCAACTAGACCACACTGTGCCAGAGACAACTTTTCTGAACATGTTGTTTCCTTTTTAGCATACAAACTGCTTTCAGATCTTTTCGTTCAAAATCAGCACGTCATTAAAATAAAATACCACATGAGTTTATATCGCACCACCTTTTAGAAAATAAACTTAGAATAGCTTACAAAAAAGAAACGTAAAATACATTAGCACACCATAAAACAGTTCAAATTACTAAAATTGATTTTGCATGTCAAAACCAGGAGCAGGATAAAGCAACTCAGTATGAAAACAGGGGTGCAGAATTTTCACCCCACAGTAGACGGTCGGTTAAACAAAATAAAAGCGCACCTAAAACTTAAAGGAGAAAGGACCAATCGAATCTCTATGGTTGTGGATAAGATTCACAGCCAGGGTGAAACAATAGAAAGGGCCCTGTCTTTTATGTATCAAGTAGCAGTCTGCTAATTTTTCATTCAATTTTCATTCAACTTTGTTCTCTCAAGTCAGCTTCCAACAGTTCCTATTGTGGCATCTGAATATAGACTGCATTTTTAATCAAGGCATATATTGGCTTATATCTTGATCAGGTTCCTAAATTAAAGAGAGAGTTTAAAGATTTTCAAAAGTTTCATGCCAGGCAAGAAGGCTAGCTGCTTAAGAAAACACTGACAGTGTTTTCTTCCTAGACAAGGGGCCCCTTGATTGATAGCAGAAAACAATTCTCAAAGTCGTAAAAGCTGGAATTACAGGCTGAAGACCAAGGTTACACAGACCCTACATAATTAGGAATGAGTAAATAGTAAAATAAAACCATGTGCCTCCATTAAACTTGAGCCTAAGGTCAAAAGGCCAAGAGCACATGGAAAACAAAGCGACTGGCTGGAGAAGGGGGGGAAGTATGAACAGGGAAGAGGCTTCTTTTAAAACGGTTTTTCTTTTAAAGAAGCTACCTGTGTTGTGTATTAAATATGCTGGCTTAAATGTAACTATGCAAAGGATTTAGAAAGTAACAAATTTAGATGTTAGATTCTTATTTCATAGAATCATAGAGTCCTAGAGTTGGAATAGACCACAGGGGCCATTGAGCCCAGCCCCCTGCCAGACAAGAAGACGCCATCCGAGCAATTCTGATATATAAGTTGTCAGATATTTGTTTAGAAACCTTCAAATGAAGGAGATCTTTCAATATTGATGTGAAACTCAAGATCCTTGACATATGTTTAAGATAAAAATTTAAGATTAACCATTTGTTTTAGAAGGCAGTAGGGCAAGGAGGGCAAGAGGTGAGCTGGTAATTAAGATTCCATGTAAGATATATTATTACTTATTTGTCATTTATATATAGCTCTTTGTCTCCCTTATAAGGATAGGAGGATATGAGTGTATTTTTGTGATTGGTTATACTAATCAGCCAATAGGAATTTCAACCAGGCTGATGGGACAGAGGCAGCCACAGGAGGAACAAAGGGGGCTGGATTAAGGGAATATAAGTGCTGGCCATAATGGCAGGAGGCCAGGCCAGAGCTTGGTAATCATATACCACTGTGCCTCTTATTTATTTGTCTGACAAATAAATTATTATTTTAATTTCTCTGTTGCTGCGTTGAATATTTCATTCCAGCTAAGCGTTAACCACAAGCAGGGTGCTACATTTTATGGTGCCTGCGACTCGGATCAGTGGTCTGCTGGAACGCAGCTCCTTCGCCTACTGAGCAGGGTACAAGAGAGAGGACAACTGTGCCTACCCAGCGCGCACTGGAAAAATTTTTCCAGGGGAACGCAGCAGTCTCGTCTGTCTGATACCCTGCCCACTGACGGCGACGGACCGGGGGGGAAACAGGGAACCAGCTAAGGGTAAGTGCACTAAGGGGTTTTGGCCCTCCAATTAATTGGGAGGAAGAGAAGTCCTGATCAAACTTCTGCGTCTCAGTAAAGGGGAACTGAGTACGCTAGGTGGCTGGGTACATCAGATGGTGATCTGGTGTAGGGAAAAGGAAAATTGGGAGGTAGTGTGTGGTAAAGTATCTAGCGCATTGCATGTGTGAGAAAGTACAATGTGTAGCTGACCTAAGTGTGGAGTGAGTACTACTTCGTTTACCAGTAAGGTGTGTGTGTGAGTGACTGAGTGGATACTTCACAGGGCCATACAATGGGAGTTGGGGGTTCAAAGGGGGGAAATACACCTCTTGAATGTATGTTAAATAATTTTAAGAAAGCCTTCTCAGGGGCATATGGAGTCAAAATGATGCCAGAGCACTTGAGAACGTTATGTGAACTAGAATGGCCAAAACAAAATACTGAATGGCCATTTCAGGGAACCTTTGATATAAATTTAGTAAGCAAACTTTGGTCTAACATCGCCAAAGAAACTGGAGGGTGCCCAGAACAATTTTCATATATAGATTCCTGGCTGAGCACATTAAATAAAAATCCTCCATGGATAAGGGAATGCAAAGTCCAACGATGCAAATTATTGGCTGTAAAAGCCAAAGCTAGGAAAGGAATCTTGCCAAATAAACTCAAACCCATTTTTGAGGGACCAGAGGAAGAGGTGCTTCCACCTCCACCCTATGCTCCACATCGAAGGGAGCCTAATTCAAACCCTCCACCAGTTGTAACCCCAAGGCAAGAAAGTGGAATGAATAATGGGGCTGGAGTCACAGAACTTGATTCCTTGATAGATTATGATAAATATCTTCAGGAGGCATTGGAGTCCTATAATGAAGCCCAAGCAGAAGTGGTTATTCCACCTGTGAGTCCCAGTAGAACTCCATCTACAGTCTCTTTTAGTGGAACAACTGATTGCCTACCCCAAACCCCTGTACATCTATTATTACAGAAGTTACAGGGAGACCCTAATCGGTCAGCAAACAATACAGCCAGGCGTATAGAGCTGCTAAAAGAACGCCTTGGGACAGATACCATCCCCTATGATTTGAGGCCCCTAGAGCAAAAGCGAAGAAAAAGGTCATGTAGTAGCCCCTCTTAGAAGAGTATTTGATGCACTTGAGGAGCCTGTGCTGGTTAATGGGCAACCTGGACCAAGGCCACCTCGAACTTCGATCCTCCAGTACATTCCATTCACAACTACGGATCTGATGAATTGGAAAACACCCCATCTTTCGCAGAAAAACCTCAGGCTATGATGGACTTGGTGACTTCAATAGTAATAGTCCTACTTGGACAGGTTGTCGCCAGCTCCTAAATACTCTCTTCACCACTGAGGAAAGGAGAGACATAATTGAAAAGGCACAGATATATTTGCGTGAGCAGGCCAGAGTGGGAAATATTTTTAATATTGACCGTCATCTCCAGGAAAACTTTCCCTTGGAAGATCCTAATTGGGATCCAAACAATGCAATTCACCTGGCCAGGCTTACCACCTACCGCCAGATGCTTGTGCAAGGTATCTGCAGGGCATGCCAGAAGCCCACTAATATGTCTAAAGTTTCAGGAGGGTAGATGTGTTACCCATAGCACTGTTTCGTGTTCAGTGCGCACCCACAAAAAGACTTAAGTTGTCACCTTTTGAGCTCCTGTATGGGAGGCCGCCCTCCTTTGTTCAGGATATTCCAACTGACCTCAAACAAATAGGAGATTATGCGACACAGGGACAAGTGCAATCTCTCTCCCGTGTTTTTGTCTCTCTCCCGTGTTTGTTTGTTGTTGTTGTTTTTATCTTAACAGGTGGGCCCTCGAGCGCACGCCGTGCAGCATTGCCTGCCGATTCATCAGCTCCAGGCTGGCATAGCATATGGGTGAAAGAGTGGAAACGTGATCCACTTGCACCTAAGTGGCGTGGACCTTACACCGTCTTGCTCTCTACTCTAACAGCGGTGAAGGTAGCTGAGGTGACCCCCTGGATTCATCACTCCCGTTTGAAGAAGTCCGAAGGCAGTTGGACGTGCAAAGGTGACCCCTCTAATCCTTTAAAACTGACTCTCTCCAAAAACCCCTGTATCTAGCCCTACCGGGAACGGCTAGGTCACGGGCAACATTAGACGACCGGCCTGCTGCAGCCACAAACCTGGAAGCTGGCTGACCTGCGCACGCCTGAAGCTTGAGGAGCGTCTGAACCAGAGACTGTGAGCGGGAAGATTCTCTTATACAATTGATTGACTGCCCCCTTGTGGAACAATTATCAGAGATATTACACATTGGGGATTCTTGGGATATATGTTTTGGTCTTGGTGGCTCCCCATTTCTGTCACTGGGGGAATTATATTGGGGCTAATAGTTTTATGCTATCACAATAAGGTAATTTTTTGTGGAAGGAATGCATATGCTAGACATCAACATGATTTTATTAATCCTGATCCCTTGGGAAGGGGAAGGGTCCTTGAATCTGACCAAATTGACTAAATATGGATTCCGCCATGACCACAATATGTGGGTATGGTAGCCAATGTGCAAATAGGACCAATTACCTTGTTTGCTCTCTTGGGCCAGATGATTTAGAGGGAGGTGTGCCCTTATTACCGATACCATTAGATGCCATTGGTATGGTAAGCGAAATGCCACACCAAACAGAAGTACAGAATTTCCCCGGATGGAACTCAACTAAATCATTATGAGTTATACCTGTACAAGGGGAATTCTGTGTACATAAATCATCAGATGCAGCTGATTCTCCCATGGTAGGCTCTTCTCATTGCCACTATACTTGGGATTATATTAAGAATACCTGGGCACACGGTACTACCTATCGAACTCGGAATGCCTTGCCCTGTGCACCTCCTTTTATTCATGCATGGAAAGTGGTATGGAACATAACTGTGACAGAAAAAGGCAATCTAACATACTGCACTGTGAACTCTATACCCCTTTTGATATTTTGCCTTATGCACTCCACATACCAAAAACCTCAGACCCGATGGTTGTGGTGGATATGTGGAGAATGGGCATACAAGAAACTCCCTTCCAA